AGGCAACTACCAGTTTTTTTTTGTGCCATTTTGCTGGATTTATTTGTCAATATTTACAGCGTTGCTGCCCATAGTGATAGCCCTATAGTTTAATCTACTACCCAAAAATAAACATATGGACATGGGTCACTATTTAAATAAATGTGAAAATCTATTTAGGAATCTATCCATGTGAACATATTTTAAGTGGGGATGGACCTCAAATCCTCTAGGGGGGTCCCGGGGCATGCACCCCCGGTAAGATTTTTTTGTTTTGGAGTTAAATGCATCAATCTGGTGCATTTTGAGGGGGAAATAAAGAGACATATAAAGACAGATATATGGAAAACACCCATATGAAACAGAACTGTATACATTTAAATATCATAAAATCATAAGAACATGGCCATAACCAATAACATATCCAATATTTAAAAACATTTGAACTTGCTTATTTATTGGTTTTTGGTTCATTTATAGTTGTGAGTGTGTCTGGGCTCCTGAATCAGCCTCTCCTGCCCCCTCCTCTCCCTCCTGCTCCTCTTTGAGGCAGCAGCAAAGACTAGTTTCAGCTCTCAACAAGTTTTTAAAGTTTATCTTACCTTTTGACCTTAACCACTTAACAGGCCAGGCCATCGGGAAACCTCCCGGTGGCCAGTCCGGGCCTGGGGAGATGTAGACAATGTAATGCAGCTGTTAGCTTAAGTACAGTGATGCATGAATATCATAACCTGGCTTATCACAAGCCATGTGAGCATGAAACCAAATATAAATGAAGTGCAATATGCGCAGCATAAAATGATGTACGCTTAGGTAAATACTGAAACATGACCCGTGATATAGGACTAGCTTAATTAGCAGTTTAATTACGCCACGGTGAGACATAGATGCTGATATGCTTGATTGGGTGATTAAGACTGTCTTCTATCATCTTACATGAACTTCTCATTCTCCCTGAAAGAAACCCCCCAAAACCAACGGATGGGGCAGCATCCGTGACTGTGTTGAAGCTTGAAACTGCGGTACTTACTGAGCATTGTGACGGGTAGTAGTTACCCGAACTGCATAACTCCATGCTGTAACACGTTACACCCAACACTGCCTGGAACTCACCTTAACCCTGAACTAAAGGCAGCAATGCATAACGAACATCTCGTGAATTTGTTGCAAACTGCCTCTTGCCAGCGCTACCCTGACGCTTGTTTTAGAGGTGAGGCGCAGGGAAAAGAGGCGAGAGCCTGGGCTGTGCAATGAGCCTGCTAGCCGCCTATGACTGGCTACTGAGGCGGGAGGAGAAGTAGCTTCAATGGGATATAGCTTAAGCCCTGCCTGCCTGCAAGAGGGGTTTTGGTTGAAGCCGGAAATGGGTTAAGCTTCGCAAGCGATGAGGGCCCGTTCCGTGTGAAGGCCGGAAGCGCCGCATTTGAGCGGCCCTGATGCCAGTGAGGCCCTCTCGAGAGACTGGAGGCGTGCGTCAATTGTTTGCGTGAAGTGGCCCGTTTCCATTAAGCCGGAGGAACTTCCGTGGAGCCCGATATCCTTGTTCTTTCCTTCCGCGTCCGGGTTTGCGGGGTGGCCGGCTAGAACCGCTAGCCAACTGGGGAACGCCCCCTGTAGCTTAATCCGCAAGACTGCGGAGCTGATGAATATATACCTGGAGCTGGGACGAAACCCTGCTGCTGCTTGCGTATTGTCACCTGAAATGACGGCTGACAAGAGGGAAGAGCAGATACAAAGGGATTAGCAGGTGCAACGATGGCTTGTGAGAATGGAGAGAGGAGTGATTGGTTAGCTGGGGAGTGACGCCCCCGATCACTTAATGAGGGAGGAGAGGGTAAAGAAGTGACGTGTAATATGAATGGAGAGCTTGGTCTTCCTGTTGAACTTGCGCTAAGCTTCATGTGTTCAAGTATTTAGAAAATGCACGAGTGGGTGTCATAGCACCTACACATTTTAAATAATTCAAGGAAATGCGTTGGTGGGTGGCATGTTGTTTCAGGTATCCCCAAGATGATGAAAGCAAATTATGAAAGACAACGAGGGAAAAAGATCCATTAGTTTGAGATCTTATCAGGTGTTCAAGCACTGTACAGTAGATTAATGCAGTGAGTGTATGTATAATGTGTTTGTGCACAACCCAGGTGCACCATCATAAATCATTAAACTCAAGATCAATCACTAAGTTTAATTTTAGTTAATCACAAACTTGATGAAATGGTCGGCTTATATTCACTAGTGATTTAATTGCAAGTGTTGTTCCAGTAATTACTTTTAATTGATTGGATCTTTAGCCCTTTTTTCCAAATAGTTATTTAACAGTTGACTGAAACTTGTTTGAGGTGTTTATTAGAACAAACATCACACCAACCAATCACAAATATGTATTTTCCAGGCTCATGGCATGCGTTATCATTAATTGCGGCATCATTTTCAGTATTTTTTTTTTAATGTTTTCCAACTAATACATACAACTTAGAGTGAAATGCAATAATCCATTTGGAAGAACAAGTTATTGATGTGGAGGCCAAATTTCCCATCTGCATACCTCTGCAGTGAGTGTTTCCTCCTCGTGTTACACGCTCTACATGTCTATCATGGTGTTAAAATAAGAGGAGGTGAGAAGAGTTTCTCGCACCTCGGAGACACTGGAGCGATAACCAGGATCTGTCTGTCTTCTTCCTGTCTCTCTGTCTGTTTTCCAGGAGGGCAGTTATCCGAGATCCATCGGCTGGACTTCCACAAAAAGCATCTGGGACTCAAACCCCCTTTGCCGCCGTCAGACTTTGGTTAAAAGCTTTGAAGCGCGGGCCAACACACCAACCTGCCTGCACTGGCCAGGCTGAGGTGTAGGATGGCTGCAGGGGGGGTGGAGATCAAACAGGAAGTACAGAAATATGCCCCGATTTACATACACTGGTGGGCTTTTTCTCTTTTTTTGCCCATGTCCTGTTACACAGACTTTAGCTCCTCTGCACAGGGAACATGGAGATGTTACGGTTCCACATGTTTCCATGTTAAAGAAGTAAGGTGATGATTTATGTCGAATGGATTCATTTATGGAAGGCAATAAAATCCATTGCAGTTAAGAGTTGCATCCTAGGTATTTATTTGTGAAAGCAGAAGTGAAGTGCAGCATCATATAAAGTTAAAGGAGTCCTTTGGTATTAAACATGGTGTAAAAAAGTTGGTGCATGTAAATAAAAAGTGATTCAACCCTGCCATAGATTTGTGCATTTGCATTGTCGGTGAAGCCGGGACAGAGAGTTATTTATTAACAGGGCAATAGCAGAATAATCAAAAATCAATTTTGGAGGGTAGGGGAGGAAGAGAATACTATATCAGGCAAAAGATGGACCAAATATCCCCTTTAAATAAAGAAAAATCCTTGAAAATAAAATACTTTATATTAAAAGATGACTGCCACCTTTCTATTAGGACTGAAAAAAACCTCAATTTTAAATGACAGAAATCCTTATATATGTAGAATTGTGAGTTTCAATGGATGTTCGATAAACTCCACTCATGATTCTCTGAAATAAAGTTAATTATCTAAATTACATTTGGCTGATTTTGGGTTGAATTTGGTTAAAAGTGCAAACTTTAGTTATCCACCATTAGTTTTTAGTCGTTATCTTAAGTGTTGCAATTGGCTATGTTGTCTAAATTTGAAAAATGTAGAATACTACTATATGCCATTTTAAATGCATTCATGGGAAGGTGTTGTCTTAGAGGGTTTAACATTCCTGTCTTTAAGAGAAA